CCCCGCTCCTCCGTTCCTGCCCCGCTCCCGCGTTCCTGCCCCGCTCCCGCTCTCTCTTCCCTTCCAGGCACAGAGAGCGACGGCACCGAACACGATTACGAGACCGTCGATGGCAACATGCAAAAGATAATTCACAAACTGCAGACGCTTTTTCCTTTCTAATACTCATTTCTGGAAGCCACCCAGCCTCCAAACCCTGAGAGACCTTCCATGACATTGGTTACTTGCAAAGGCTAAATAAACTGCTTCAGTCCTGCAGAAAGGTGACCACTCCTCAAGGGCAAGCAGCCCACACACCTCTGGGATGCCTGTGGCTCAGAATAAATCCCCTTTGTGCTGTGGGCTGTCCCATCAGCTGTCACCCATGGGACTCTCCAGCAGCACCAGACCAGCACACAGATGGGTGGCCAACAAAATGCCACTGAGGCAGAGGACATGGATCTCACTGTGCTCCACCACATTACAGCACCTGAGCTGGGATTGCCGGTGCTTTCAGATGGGAAATGCTTTGGGGCCAGCACGTCCAGGCAGTATTTGGCATGTGGACTGGGATGAGGTTGACATGACAAGGTACCTCACACAGAACGAGTGATGCCCCAGCTGGGGCTCAAACCACCAAGTGACGTATCTTTACAGCTGCATGTCAGAAATCCAATTTCATAAGGCATTTTTCTAAAGTACAGCCAAACCCACTTCTCACTCTGCAATAATTTCTCACCAAGGTTGTAGAAACATTGTAAAACCACTGTGGCTTTAGGTTTTGCTGGCTTTGTCCTTCGCATCCTTTTTTAGCTGCACTTGCAATGGGCAGCAACAGAGCTGACCAGTTCCTTCCTGTTTTTGTGCTTGTTCCACTCATGCAGCTTTCTGGCATCTACAAAGGCCCTTGCTGCACTCATGGCATTGGATGCAAAAAATATTACCTGAAAGCAAAATGGACCAAAGTTCAACTGTTCCTTCCTGCAAGTTTGGCAAAGCCCTGGAAAATTGGCAAAGACCTCATAGTCCTGATGTGCATTAGGGAAAAAAGCTGACAAGGGGAGCTCTGCACTGACAGCAAGCAGGTGTTGCACTCCTGCATCACACACTGTGCTCTTCTTCTTTCAAATAAGAGCTGGAAAATTAATTTTTAAATATAATTTAAGATAAAATTGTGTGTTTTTTTCCCCCTCTCTCTCTGTGAAGAGTAGCTTTGGGTTCAGTTTTTCTATCCATCATTCCTTCCTCAGTGCCTAGGGCAGTCCCAGAACTGCAGAGAGGATGGATCATTTTCACTGGGAGTCCTAGCCTGGGTTTGTGCTGGTTTCATTCTCTGGCTCTGCCCGGGGATTTGTTCTTGGTATTGGCACTTCCTCCTCAAATAAGCACTGTGGGAAAGACACTGACAATTGCTCTTCAGGTCCTGAATACTCACCCGAGGAGGGAGAACCAGCTCTCATCTGCAAACAGGCCCTAGCCATTCATACACAGCACCTACATCATAGGGTCACAGAATCACAGGATGGTTTGGGTCTTTAAAGATCCAACTCATTCCACTGTTATGTTGCTGAGAGCCTTGTCTGACCTGACATGCAACACTTCCAGGGACCTCCCTGGGCAACCTGTTCCTGTGTCTCATCACCACCACCACCATAAGAAATGTCTTCCCCATGTCCAGTCTAAGCCAACCCATTTCCAGTTTTAAACTGTTGCCTCTTGTCCTGTCATTACAGACCCTGGTAAAACATCCCTCTCCATCTCCCATATAGGTCCCTTTAAGGATCAAAAGGCCACAAGGTCTCCCTGGAGATTCCTCTAGGTTGAACAATCCCAGCTCTCTCAGCCTTTCTTCATGGCTACATACAATGCACAAAACTTCAACCAAGAGACACATGGCAGTGGCCAACAGATGTTTAGGTCACCCCAGTACCCAGATTTCCTTCTCTTGGGAGAAAAACTAATCACTGGGCCATGGCTGGGAAGTGGATGGGCTCCAGGGAGAAGAGCAGAGGAAACCAGAACTATAGAGTGTTTTTCCTCATCTCCTTTGTTTGAGCAAAAAGCATTCATAGACCAGTTAAGGTTGGAAGGGACCTTAAAGATCATCAGATTCCAACATCCGTGCCATGAGCAGGGACATTCTGAGTTCAGGTTTCACCGTCAGTTCATAGATAGTTTTAAGTGCAAACTTTTTGTGAAGCAGCCAATGCTCCCCTAAGACCTATTCCGAATCATCCCACTAGCCAGACAACAGCAGATGCTCCTGGATGCTTTGAAGATTAAACAGCAAATTGACACTTAAAACTCCCTCCTCTGCCAACAAGTTTTTTCCTCTCCAGGCACAAGTGTGTTGTCCAGTCACACAACTCTTTACTGCAAGCAATATCATCATCTTCCAAAAATTATTTTCTTCCTAACCTGCACACTTCTTGCAAACAGGAAACAATACAGTACCTTTGGCTTCTAGGGCTGCTGGACTTCTAGCCTGGAAGTTCACCTGTTACACGTCTATGACACAACTCAGAAGTACACCATTGGCTGCAGCTCTGAGCTCTGCCAGGCTCAGAACCTGAGCAGCACACAGGGCTCCTCCCAGTGCTAATGCCAGTGTTGGCAGTTATTAATTGAAGTAAGTAAAATTTTGGGGGTAAAAATTACATTAGGGGAAAAAATCACATAAAAGAGAACATAAGGGAGACACAGAATAAAAACAGGGCCAAGGTAACAGTGAAGCAGTGAGAATGAGACAAAACTAGATTCCAATTAGAGAAAAACACCCCCCAATAGTCACCAGCCCTTGAGACAGGCCTGCAGGACAGATGGAAGGGGTGGACAGGAGCTCTGCCCACAGCTTGGCCTGGGGACAGCCTGGAGCACTGGGGAAAACCACACTAAGTAATGGAAATCACTGTATGAATCTATTAAAGAGCCATTAGCAGACTGAAATCCACACCCAACGGCTGGAGGGACCCCTGCTAACAACAACCCCCTCTTGGAACAGGCACAGTGACATTCCTGAGCATTGACACTTGGAATGGCAGCCAGGGGTTAGTGACCCATCGTGTGCAGTGACAGAACAAAGCTAGAGATCAAGTTATTTCTCATGTTTTGGGTATAAAAGTAGCAACTGTGTTTCAGGAGCTGAGCAGGCTGTGTGGAACACCCCCTGCTCCCTGCAGAACTGGGTATTACAGTGGGTGGCAGACCCACTGTTGGGACAACACCACAGGCCAATGCCCTGGGTTGGGCAGCCAGCCCCACAGAGCTCTTCCAAAGCCAGGTCACTTTACCAGTCTCAGGTAACATGAACCCCCTAACCTGCAACTCTCCGGGCACCCAGGCTCAGCCAGCCCATGACCCCACAAGTCAGCCCTGGCTGCATATGCTTTTTTTTTTCCAGCAGACCCCTAGGAACTCAGCAGGCAGCAATGGAAGGACAGGCCAGTGCAGCAAACCAGGCTCCCTCCTGGCAGGCAGTGAGGGTGTTCTGGTGTCTCTCCATTCAGCCTGAAAGACCCCAGGTCCTGCTGTTCAGCAAGGCATTCACAACAGCCGTGGCTCCCCCTGTGAGAACAGCTACATGGATAGTGGTGAAAAATGCTCCTGAAGATTCATGAACTCCTGAAATGCTGCCATTATGAAATGCAAAACAATTCCCAGAAGGCAGTTTTCAGCTTTGCATTTTATATTAACAGGAAGCATGTAACTGAGAGGTCAGAAACACACTGGAGCAGCTACCCTTGCAAACCGCTGCCCTGAACAAGGCATGATTATGTGGAGAAACATGCAAACCTGTTACCTCCACCCTGATGTATCACCAGTATCAACCCTGCTATTTCCTAACTTGGTGGGTTTTTTTTGTTAAGCTTTAAAAAATGTTTTAAAGAAGAAAACTTTGTATCAAAGGATGCAATTAATTTGAGCTTCAGCTAAAGTACATTTGGTGGCAGGAATCATCCTGGCTCTACTTAGAATACTGAGACAATGTGTACTTTTCTTCAATAGTGCAGTTATTTAATTTCTTACTGTCCGGACATTTAATTCAGTTTGACATTGTAAAGCAATTCACTTCAAATCTAAGGAAAAAAAAAATAAGTGTAATTAAAGAAACTGATGGGCTGTGTTTTTACTCACATGGCTGGGTTCTGTCAATGCAGGTGGTTTTCTTCTTTAGTGAGGAAGAAAAGCCTCTCGAGTACAGGCAAGAGTACCCAAGTTACAATTTTATTGAAAACACCCAAAAGCTCTAGTAACAAGGTGACCTCATAGTACAAACAGATTTAAATGTATAAACTTAACCAGTTAAAAATATATTCATGATTACTGCACATTAGTGGAATAATACTCTTGGCTACCCACTTTATGAATTAAATGGAATGAAAGCTCAGTTAGGAGAAACAGCTCTAGAAACAAAAGACAATCTGCCCAGAACAAGATTAAAAAGATTTTCTTTCTAACACAGGCATCCTCTAAGGAGACAAAACCAAACTGAAGCCTCTGAAACTTTGAGTTCAGTCTTCCCATGCCTGTTTATCTTCTCACTCACATGGTCACAGCACATAATCGAGTCCAGGTAGCAGAATCCTGTGTGTTCTGCTTGTCCTTGAATTCCAAGGAGGCACCTGCAGAGTAACTGGGACTTTCACAGGCTGGAAAGCGCAAAATATTACCTTCTACATCACAAAGGTAACTTGGTACATGGACAAGCATTTGCTTCCAACTAAATCCAGCTGGAAGCAGCTTCACTCAGCATCTGTCGACTTATAGTGATCATCATCCACAGTGGAGTAGATGTGTCCCTCACTGCTGAGGAACTCGACAGCTTGCCTTTGAGGGGAAAAAAGAAAAGCAAATGCTTACTAGTTTGAATCAACACCTTTATCTCAGGGATTTCCCACTTACAGAGCCCATCCCTCCTGTTTCAGTTTCAGTGCTGCTCCATCAGCATGCAGAGCTCCAAAGCTACGGCACTAGGCTCCCCCAGCAGCTCTTAGGGGAAGACACCGCCCTCAGTACCCCCAGGTAGCAGCAGAACCTACCACTTTGCTTCAAAGGGGACAGAACACAGGTAGCAGATGCCAGTGACTGTCTTTAGGCTTCACAGTTTCACTAAGTCTCAGGAGGAAGAAGATATAAGAGACGCCAAAGGAGAACAGAAACAGTCTGTTCCCACGTTTTGATCTGCACACAGAGAGCAAGGTGGTCCTTGAGCAGGAAAAAATATTGCTGAGGCACTGCAGTACTCCCAGGTGCCTGTTACTTTCCCTCTGAACTGTTAAACAGCTTGTTTGGAAAACAGAGTGAAACATTTCATCACCCATTCAACTGACACTGGCTCAGTCCAAGTTCAAAAGCTCTGGCTCACAGCTGTATCCTAGTGGGAACATCTGACATTCCTGGAGCTGTTTAACAGGGAAGGAGCAGGGCTTGCCCCCTGTGTTCCTCTCTGCCTCCTTTTACCAGACTCCAGAACACCCTTTGTATCTACACACTTACTTGATTGTTGACATGCTCATATTTTGGAGCTGAAGTTTCAACTCTTGAAGACTCATACCTTCTGGGACAGGGCAGTTCTTAATCAAGTTCAACACCTGAAAAAGAGCAACCATTACACAGAGCTGAGCTCTCTGTCATCAATGGACAGCAAGGCTGAGGAAGAACTATCCAACTTCTAAAAATACCTGAGCTTGCATTTCAGTGTCCCACATGAGGCCAGAAAAGCTGCTGGCACCTACCTGACTCTGATGTGCTGTGAGTCCATTCACTGGCAAGCTGCCACCTCCTCCATAGCCCCCCATGTCACCCGTCCCAGGAAATGACTGAGGCCCTCTTGATGCTGACTGCAAGGAGAGCAGAACTGCTGTGTCACTCAGGCTGCCACAGCCCCAGCACTACAGACTTGCTGTGACTTCAGAGAAACAGTAACCAAAAACAAATTCCCAAAAGGAACCATTGGAAATGGACTGCAACACAATCCCTCTCCAAGGACACCAGGACTTCATGCTTTCCAGCCCCCCATGTATACAACTTCTGCAATGGAGCAAGAAGTCTGTGTCTCTTTGGACCATAACCAGAAACCCAGTAAGGGCCCAGATGGAATCAGGATCTTCAGGTACATACCATTAGATTTTTTCTTAGGATCATATGTGCGTTGACAATCTCTAGTATGTGTGTGGTGAACTCATTCATATTTTCCAGAGGCATGATCTTAAATGCCACCAAGCTTTTCTTGTTCTTTCAGAAAGAGAATAAAGAAAAAAAAAAAAAAAAGAAGAAAAAAATTAGCATCACAGTTAGAGGAATATGCTTAACTGCCAATCCCACCATTCTCTTCTGGATCAGGGATAGTGGAAGGGAAGGAGCTTGTAACTAGGTAACTAGTTCAAATCTTTCTGACTTACATTTTCATGTGTGATTTTGCAAGACAATCTCTTACAGTCACAAAACAGTTGGAGTTGGAAGGGACCTTAAAGATCATTTAGTTCCAATCCCCCTTGCATGGGCAGGGATACCTAACCAGCTGGCAATTCATTGCATTTTGCTTTAACACACACACAATTATTTTAATATTTATTAACATGTTTAATAATGAGCCAAGAACATCACATAATGTTCTACTAGAAGCATTCCCACTGCTTCTTGTAGAACCTGGTGTCAGCTCCATACTACAAACACCCAAGCCCTGGTGGCCAGTCCTGTGTTCTGCTGGAGCCAACACACTGATGCCAAGTGGCTCTCGGGAACAATTAAAAGTGTTATTAAATACAGCCCTGGCAAAAACATTTCAGGATTTGTCCACAGGGAAGGATAAGCAAAGCCCATGATTAAGTGGTATTCCACAGGGAGACCACTAACACTATGCCAGGTCACCAGTCCCTCAGGCCACTGCTCCAACCTGGAGGTAGATGGGACAGGGTGGCCTTACCTGGAAAGACCGAAGGTGTCCAGCTACCTTCACATAAGTTCCTGGAGGTACCACAACGTTCTCACCACCTGCCTCCTGACAGACAGGAAAAAGAAGGAAAGTTTTGCTGATTGACATTTGCACTTCTCAGTTACCACAATAAATTACTTAAGAAAGGATGGTTATCTCAAGCACACTCAAATACCATGAATCCCTATATCCAGTAGGAACACTTAGGTAAACATAACTGTAAAAAAGAAAAAAAAGAAAAAAGAGAAAAAAAATATTTGCTCCCTTGGACAGTGTACACCTGACTGCAGCCAAAGGCAGTGCTCAGCTCTGCTGCTGCTGTCCACTTCTGAGGGATTTTCACAGAGCAACATGAGGAAGGAGCCCTCAAGTAGTAAAAAAACAGGTGTTCAACTATATAACTTGGCTGGGGGGATGGAAGCAGAATCTTTTTGAAGTTATGCTAAACTTGCAGCTAAGCCAACTGAATGTCTGCCTAGTCACTCTCCAAAAGTTTTTGAACTGACATCAGCTGTTTGCCTTCACATGCATGTTACAAGAACATGGGCTAGCTTTAAAGACCAGCAGTGGAAATTCTCAGCACTCCAGGAGGCACACATCAGAAAATATGACATCACTCATCAGAACACATCTTTGCCTCAATCACTGAGGAGAAAAATCTCTGGTAACCTCTCTCAGCACACACCTCTCAGCTCAGCTGTGAAGTAACAGTTAAGCTTCAGCACCTAAACTAAAAAACTATTGAAACTGATCCTATGTAGGACCACATATGAACTGAAAAAAGCAGAAGTCATGTACAGCACCAGTGACCTCTGCTTTCAGAAACATGCTATCCTTAAAACACACCTCTGAACAGACATCTTTTTATTAAGACCTCTCTCTTCGCCTCTCCCAAAAGCTTTTAAAGAAGCACATCCCCCAGGAAGCTGGTGCTTACATCAGTATCCACCCACTGCCTGACGTCCATCGGGGCTGCTGTCATGTCATCCACTTTGTAGAGAATGTTGGTTGGTGCCTTCTCAGCGTGCCGGATGATGCCCATGATGGTGACCTGCACCGCAACAGGCAAGACTTTACCCGGGAAGGCGCTGGAAACGCGGCTGTTTCACCCGCACCTCCCCGCCCCCACCTGGGAGATTTCCACCTCGCGGATCCTGAAGGTCTCGTCCACCTGCTCGGCTGCCAGCAGCTGCGACACGGTGCAGGGCACGATGTTCTGCGAGCGGATTC